TCTGGAATTAAGAATCTAATGATGACCAGGAATCCATTGTCAATTGACCAGGAAAAACCCATCTGGTTCACTAATGTCCTTTAGGGAAGGAAACTGTTATCCTTACCTGGTCTGGCCTACATGTGACTCCAGATCCACAGAAATGTGCTTGTCTCTTAACTGCCCTCTGTGCAATCAGGGATGGGCAATAAGTGCTGCCTAGCCAGCGACTTCCTCATCCCATGAATGACTAAAGAGGGGAAAAAAAAAAGTGCTGGATCTCTCATCTGGCCTGCAGAGGAACTTGGATTGTGAAGGGAAAGATCCAGTTGACAACATTCGTGTAGGTACCAACGATATAGGTCAGCAGCTAGAGGGCTAAGTTATAAAGCAAAACCAAAAAAAGAGTAATAATCTCCTAAACCAGTCTATTTAGAAGAGTGGCTCAAAGATTGGAGGCGAAGAAACAGGTTTGAATTCATGGGGCATTGGCACTAATACGAGGGAAGGAGGAAGATGTTCCAATAGGACAGGGTCCATCTAAATCACAAAAACTGAAAGAACTGTGGATGCTGTAAATCAGGAACAAAAACAAAGTTGCTGGAATAGCTCAGCAGGTCTGGCAGCATCTGTGAAGAAAAAAAAAAAATCAGAGTTAATGTTTCAGGTCCGGTGACCCTCCTCAGAACTTCCTCACTCTGGGCACTGCCACACCAACGCAGCTATTTGAGCATCCAACCCTGACCACCATACATAGCTTTTTGCTAGCATCTTCAACTTGGAAAACCCAGGATGACCCTGGTGGAGTTCTACCAGTATCTGGCGGTGACCTTTACTTGGGAAAATCACCCTCGTTTCCCATAGTAATATGCCATCCTCTACAGTGATCTGGTGTCACTGGGTCCAGAAAGGTTTCAATCCTGGTTGCGATGGCCCTTCCGTTTCCCCCATTACCACCAGCCGTTTTAGTTTCACTAGGACAGGTTCTATTTGTGTCTACAGTCGGGTATTGTCAGCAGTGACTGGATGGGTGTCCAGGAGGTTTAAAATCAAAATAGACTCTTTCAAGAGAGGCACCAGCGGTGGGGTATCTGCCAGACGGAGCCAGCTCAAGGCATTAGCCACATGGCTTCCTGGACGGTGTTTTAATCTGTACTTGTACGTGCTGAGAATATGGGCCCAAATGCTGAATTCTACTGGAAGCTATAGGCGGCACTGCCTTGTCTTCCTTCAGTAGCCCTAGCAGGGGTTTGTGATCTGTGACTATGACAAATTCCCTTCCGTAAAGGTATTGGTGAAACTCCTTTACACCAAATATGACCGCGAAACCTTCCTTCTTTATTCGGGCATATGTGCGTTCAGCATCAGCCAAAGTCCAGGAAGCATATGCTATTAGGCGTTCCCCTCCGTTCGGCCACCGACGAGCCAACACTACCCCGATTCCATATGGGGAGGCATCGCATGTCAGCACTACCTCTCACTGTGGGGCCA